TTGAAAATGGAAAAAAAGATGTATTTGGCGTTGTGAGATGGTTGTGAGCTTTTGAGGGCCATGGGGCAGCATGTTAAGGTTTGGAGGTGAGGTGTCCTCCAAAAGCTCATGTGTGAGACAATACAAGAAGGTTCAGAGGAGAAATGATTGGGTTGTGAGAGTCTTCACCTAATCAGTGAATTAATCCTCTGATTGGGATTAATTTATTAACTTAAGTGGGAGGGTGTGCCTGGAGGAGGTGGGGATTGGGGTGTGGCTCTGGGTGTATATTTGCATCTGGTGAATGGAGTTTCTCTCTGCCTCCTGATCACCATGTGAGATGCTTCCCTCCGCCACACTTTTCCACCATGATGACCTGCCTCACCTTGAGCCCTGAGGAATGGAGCTGGCTGTCCATGGATTGAGACCTCTGAAACCCTGAGCCCTCAAATAAACTTTTCCTCCTCTACAATTGTGCTGGTTGGGTCTTTTAGTCACAGTGGTGAAACAGCTGACGAAAACACTGGCTTTGAATTTGCCACCCTCCTGCCTCAGCCTCCTGAGTCCTTAGGATTTGGGGTGTGCACCAGAGCACCTGGCGGAGGAGTGGCTGTTGTAAGATCAGTGTGGGAACCAGGGCTGTGGCTCGGTGGAAGAGAGCCTGCCTGGAAAGTGGGGAGCTCTGGGTTCCAGTCCTAGCACCAATCCAGTCCAGCTCAACCCAATAAATCAGTGTGTAGCCTCCCCCAGTGTCTTATGATAGCTTTGTGGCTTCATCACATTTTCATTAGATGTCAGCTGTCTTCAATGATTTCTTTTTAAGTTGACTTGAAATGATGTCTTTTATTATGATTTTCATTATGATGTGTTTGGTGAGGACTGTTATTTCTTGGAATCCTCAGTGGCCTGTGAGATGAGTCTGTCTTTTTCAGTTTGGTTAAAAAACCCAATTCTTGGAAGGGCTGGTCCAGGGGGCAGCGAAGGACTTGCCTGGTACACACCCACTGGATCTCAAACCCAGAGATGGCGGCTTCCTCACTGCGCTACTGCCCTGCCTCCTCTCCTCTGCCCAGGATGACTGCAGCAATGTCCCAGGGTGTCCCTCCCAGTCCCTTCTTTTTCTAACCTACCTTCATGGCTCTTGTCACTCTTTTTTTTTTGGTGCCAGGGATTGAACCAGGAGCACTTGACCACTGAGCCACATCCCCAGCCCTGTTTTGTATTTTATTTAGAGACAGGGTCTCCCTGAGTTGCTTAGCGCCTTGCTTTTGCTGAGGCTGGCTTTGAACTCGACATCCTCCTATCTCAGCCTCCTGAGCCGCTGGGATGACAGGCATGAACCACCATGCCTGGTCCCTTACCTCTCTTGAACAACAGAGGAGCAGATAGGAGTGTCACCAACCCAGGGACTTTGGAGCTGGAGAGGCAAGGACTGCATTCCTTCATCCATCTCCCTCTCCCTCCCTCCCCCCTCCCTCCCTTCCTTCCCTCCCTCCCTCTTTCCTTCCTTTCTTCTCTCTCTCTCTCCCTCCTTCCCTCCCTTGCTCCCCACCCTTTTGTCCCAGGGTATATATTCAGGGCCTTTCACATGGTATATAAATGCTCTACCACTGAGCTTTTTTATCTTTAAAAAATTACACACATACACACACAGGCTACCTTTATTTTATTTTCTTGTGGTGCTGATGAGGATTGAACCCAGTGCCTCATGCATGCTAGGCGAGCACTCTACCACTGAGCTACAACCCCAGCCCCAGGTCTTTTTTATCTTGAGACAAGATCTTGCTAAGTTACCCAGGCTAGCCTCAAACTTGCAATCCTCCTGCCTCTGCCTCCTGAGTAGCTGGGATTGCAGGTGTGCAACACTGTGTCTGGATTAACTCATCTTTTTTATTTATTTATTTATTTTAGCTCCAATATGCATAGTACATGGTTGCAGCTCATAAGGATGAACACATGAATGAAGGAATAAATGCATGGATGCAAGGATGAGTCCATTAGCCAGAGTTTTGGCCCATCTGCACTTGACCTTCCCAGCTGTGTCTTCTAGGGGTTTCACGATTGCTTTCATGGAGAGAGGTTCTTCAGCCCTTCCAATTGTGCACAAGCTCTTATGTGCATCTCTTTATTGCTGTACTCCACCAAGTTGTCTGGGAGTGGGTTAATGATTTGGGCTGCAAATCGGAAATGCTTGCTGGTCTTTGGTCTGTTTGGAAGCTTGTGCCCTTAGTAGTAGTGGCCCGCCCCAGATGGCCTGCTTCTTACTCCTGCACAAGCTCACTTTTCCTAAGAGATCTGATAAATATACTCGTGGCTGTAGACAGTCCCCCTGTGACCCCTTGTGCGTGTATCTGCACTGTAGCAACAGGCAGCTTCAAGTTATAGAAATGACACTTGAGTCTGGGGAGGGATGTTGGGGTGAAGCACGGGTCGGACGGAAGCCACTGAAAGAACAATTCACTTTGGGGACTGGTCTTAACTTGTACTGATATCCTGCCTGCCACTGATGGTTATTTAGTCTGCCTTAGTGGGACCTGGCTATCCAGCCCACCCCCCACCTAGGACATTGTTCTGTGTCCTTCGATGGTAACTAAATTCGTGTGTCTCTTGATGAAACTATAGATTCCTTGATGTAGGGATTGGATCTCTCACCTCTTTCTTGTTCCCCCAAGTTGGGCTGCTATTTGTCTGAATGTCTGTCAATCCACACATTGAAACGTAATCCCTAATGCACTAAAATGAAGAGCTGGCTTCTTTGGGAGGTGATAAGGTCAGGAGAGAGGATCCCAGAGAGTGAGATTAGTATCTTTATAAATGACACCCAAAGGCTTCCTTGTTCCTTCTGCCATGTGAGGACCAACAATTTGCCCTCTATAAAGCAGAGAGTAGCCCTCATCCAGTACTGAATGTGTGCATCTTGGAACTTCTCAGCCTCATGAACTCTGAGAAATCAATTCCTGTTATTTACCAATTAGCCACTCCACTGGGTATGGTGGTACCTATCTGTAATCCCAGGACTCTGGAGGCTGAGGCATGAGGATTGCAAGTTGGAGGTCAGCCTCAGCAATGTAGCTGGGGATATGGCTCAGTGGTAGAGCACCTCTAGGTTCAGTCCCCAGAAAAAGAGAGAGAGAGAGAGAGAGAGGGAGAGGGAGGAGAGCCAATCTAAGGCATTTCATAATAGAACAGAATGAGGCACAAGACACACAAGGAAGCAGGAGGATCACTTCAGAGCCTGTTTTTCCTGGCCTTCTCTGTATCTGCAGGTAGCTTTGTGTGCCTGTCTTCCAGAAAGAGTCACAGCAACGTTTCTGGTCCTAGATGCTTTTTCAGAATCTTGCAGTTCTCCATAGGAAGTGGTATTCATTTCTCGTCCCCTTGAACCTAAGCAGAACTCTGTATGTGTCTCAACGAATAGAACGTACCTGAGTGACGCTGTGTGGCTTCTGAGGTTCCAAAAGCCTGTGGGCTTCTGTGTGGCCAGCTCTTGTTCAGCTCATTCTTGGTATTCAGTTACTGCCATGCTACGAGTGACCCACACTGGCCTAAGCGGAGAGACCACATGGACGACTGCGGAGGGGAAGAAACTGGGGACCCTGGCCAGCAGCCGGCATTGCCCCTTGGGCACATGCCTGAGAGAGTCTTCAGACATCCCAGCTTGCCAGCCTTGACGGCTTCCAGCTGAGGCCCTGGTATCAGAGCAGAGAGAAACTGTCCCTGTCGTAACTTGTTCCAAATCCAGACCCTGAGGACTTTCTTTCTTTCTTTCCCTTTCTCTCTCTCTCTCTCTTTCTCTTTCTTTCTTTTCAGTGCTGGTGATGGAACTTTGGGTCTTGTGTACCCTAGGCTAGCGCTCTGCCACCCACCATACCCCCACCTCTACATGGTTGCTTTGCCCAATTTTGGGAGTGATTTGTTCTACGACCCCAGGACAGCCACATACCTATACCGGGGACTGAACAATGGTCAGCCATGGACAGTATATAACACAGTGGTCCTGGAAGATTGTAAGAGAGCAGAAAAATTCCCATCATCTAATAATGGAATAGTCATTGTGATGTCTTAGAGCAACGCATTACTCCCCTGTGCAGTAATGCTGGTGTTAAAAGACAAAACAAAACCTACTGTACTAACAGTCATGCAAATATAGGAGATGCAATTATGTACAGTATGTCATATATGATAATCATAATAAACACCTACATTGCTGGTTTGAGTACTTACTAGGCTTTTATCATTAGAGTTACTCTTTCTACTTATTAAAATTAAAAGGTTACTGGGCTTGGGGATGTAGCTCAGTGGTAGAGTGCTGGCCTAGTATGTGTGAGACGCTGGGTTCAATCCTTAGCACCACGTCCAAAAAAAAAAGTTCACTGTGAAAGTATGCTGTGTTACACCAGTACATCTTGTGACTGTACTGAAAGGTCATGTGAATCTACACGTCTCGATTGGTGTAAGTACACTCTAAGATGTTTGCACAATGATGAAATTGCCCAATGAGGACCCAATTTCTCTGAGCATACTCCTGTCATTAAGCAACATGATTATAACTAGAACACTAAAATAATGGAGAAGCTTCTTCTCTTTGGGATTGAACTGTCTTCCCTGTCCCTCAGGTTTCCGATCACTGCCTTTCAGAGAGCCTTGCCTTTTGTATTTACCCAGTTTGTGATAATATATGTGTTTGTTGTTATGACTGAAAGATATGTTCCAGCAGGGGAAGGATCTTGTGGGTGTCCACTGTGCTGTGTAGCCACATAATGTAGTCCTGGCATTCCCAAAGCTGTGGATTGAATGAACTTGAACCTTCCCAGGTCATACATTCAGTACCAGATCTGGGAGGAGGAACGGGTGGGTATTCCAGCACCTTCGAGAAAGTTTCCTCCGCCACACAGGGTGCATCCACTCCAAACCTTCTCTTGCTCTTATTAGGCCCAAATTTCTGACCATCTAAAGAGTAAAAGGCATGGTATCTACAGAAGTCTCCTCCAACCAAAAACATTCCATCTTCATCTCCACAGACTCCTTGCCAAAATAAGCTGGGAAAAGTTTTGTGAGTGCCCGGATTCCAGCAGGAGTTGAGCTGGTCTGAGAAGAAAAACAGAGAAAAAGGAAATTGCTCCAAATGTTGATTTGTTTAAACTTCTTCACCAACTTTACAACACAAGGCAACCAACAGAGACACACTTGTAATGAAGTAATCGGCCATCGCAGCTAATTTTCCAGCAACAAGAAATGATTCCCACTTCATGGGGTAGATATGAACAGGGTCATTAAAATATGGCCAAGGAGGGAGGGAGGGAGGGAGGGTTTACTTTTTCTGTCTCCTTTAAGTCTGTGTTCTGAAAGCTCAGCAGGAATTTAAACAAATAGCAGGGAGGAATGGTGAATCCGATCATTTTAAAAGAAAAAGCCCCTTTCAGACTTCACCTCCTTTTAATGCCTTGGCTTCTACAAGTATTGCTTTTGAAAATACTGCCAGTTTTTTTTTCTCTTTCTCCATCTGAAAAGCCTACTTCAGGAAAACAAAATTAGCATCAAATTGTTCTAATATTTTTCTTTGCATTTTTTTCCCCTCTAGGTCAAGAAGAAATTGTGGTTCCTCTCATATAAATGAATGTCAGGAGAAGGAAAGGAAGGGGGGTAATTAGGAATGAGAAATGGGGTCACAATGCTTCTCCTTTTAGTTCAAAAATGAAAAATAGGGGCTGGAGGGATAGATCAGTGGTAGAGTGTGGGGCCCTGAGTTTGATCCCTAGCACTTTGAAAAGAAATAAAAGAAAGAAAGAAAAGTAGATAGGCTTAGAGGACAATCAGAGGTAAGAGGAGAGAGCTACCAACAAAAGAGGATTACATGGGTCAGGCATAGTGGCCCAAGCCTGTAATGCCAGCAACTTGGGAGGCTGAGGCAGGAGGATTCCAAGTTGGAGGCTGGCCTCAGTAATTTAGTGGAACTCTGTCTCAAAATAGAAAGGGATGGCGATGTAGCTCAGCGGTAGAGCAGGGGTAAGGGTGTGTGTGTGTGGGGGGGGGGGCGGGGATTACATGGGTAAAACGTGGGAGGGGGAGGGTGGAATTGGTTCCTTTGCATTACAGATAGGAAAAGGGAATGAAGAGAAGGATGCTCCCACAGTCCTCAGTTGGGTGCATTTTTAAATTAATTAACTGATTAATGAACATTTGTTTTGGTACTAGAGATTGAACCCAGGGTCACTCTATCACTGAACCTCCTTCCAGCTCTTTTTATTATATGTTAAGATGTGGTCTCACTAATAAGTTGCTCAGGATGGCCTCAAATTTGCCATCCTCCTGCCTCAGGCTCTTGAGTTGTTGGGATTCAGGCGTGCACAACTGTGTTCAGTGGGCATATTTATTGAATTCAAGAAAGGATCTGGGTTCAAGTGTTCTGACTTTGGACAAGTTTCTCAACTTCCCCAAGCCTCAGTCTTCTCACCTATAAAGAGGGAAGAAGAGATCTTAACTCACAGGGTATGAAGGTTAAATAATACAAAGCAAATAGAACATGTCACCCGGCCCCAAGGTAAAGTGTTCTGCAAACTTTAGGAAGAAATATATAAAAAGTTTCCGCAGAGGACAGTCGGTGGGTCAGGAACCCTGAAGACTTGGTGGGCTTCTCCAAGTCAGGCAGCCCAGATTGAGGGTGCAGGGCTCCTCGCCCTGCTAAAGCAAGGTCTTTCACACACAGTCCCTTCCACACTTTGGCCCGAAAATTCGGTGAGGGTTTTTCTTCCTCCTCTGTTGTTGTTGGGTTCTGATTACTTCCATCTGGCTGCAGCAGCTCCAGTGGAGTCTTTAAAAAACAAAACAAAACAAAAATCCTCCCTACAAAACAGCCGCACCAAACCTAGACGGCTGCTTCGCTTCTCACCAACACGCGCTCAAAAGGCAACACGTGCGAGCCATGACTGGGGGCGCACCGGGACCCCTGGCACCTGCGCTCGCTACCCGCGGGAAGAGGGTCCTCCTGGACCCAGCCCCCGCCTCCCTTCCTTCAGGTCCTGGGCTTCCGCTCCGGCGCCCGGACAGGCGCCCTGGGAACTATGACCCGGGCATCTCCCGGCAGAGGGAAGAGGGAGTGGGGAGGGCGAGGGCATTTTAGAGATTGAAAACAGAGCACTCCCAGCGCCTCAGCCCCAGAGCTCATCTGACTTGAGTTAGAGACACTCCCCAATCCCCCATTCCGGCGCCTTAAAAAGTGTTGGAGACTGGCGCGTAGTCTCATTTCCTGCGCGAACTTTCCTGTAGGGGTGCTTTCTTTCTGCGGTGCTGGGGTGGGGGAGAGTCCTAGGCCGCCCCTTTCTCCTCTCCGGGTGGTGTCCGGGTCCTCCTCCAGTCTCCCAGGGCGGGGAGCGCGCGGCGCGGGCGGGCGATCGGCGCCCGAGTGTGCCAAAACCCAGCGCGCGGGGGCGCTGCGCCGTCCCGGCGGCGCTGATGGATTGCAGGAGTGCCGGCGCTCGCCAGCCGAGGCAGCACGGCTCCGCGGACTTTTTTTCAAACTCCCATCAATGAGACTTCGAGGAGGAGAGGGAGGCGGCGGCGGCGACAGCGGACGCAGAGGAAGGCGAGGAGAAGCAGGAGGAGCCGGAGGAAGAAGCGCGGGCCGCGCGGCGCGACAGAGTCTTGCAGAGCTGCTTGCTCGCAGCGGTAGGCTCTGCCTGGCCTGGGGCTGCCTGGGTCCCCTCCTCTGCCTGGCCCGCCCCGCCCAGGCTATCCTGAGCCCCGGCACAAGGCAGCCCGCGGCCGATCGCCGCGCCAGCCAAGTTGGGATGGGGGCCTGCTACCGCTGCCCGGCGCCCGAGAGGCCACCTGCGTGCTAGAAGCAAACTTTTGTCTCCTCGGTAAAGTTGCCTTGGCCTTCTTTTGCTTGCTTGTGCTTGCAAAGCGCCTCCTATCCTGGCTCAGCCCAGGCCGATCGGGATGCTGCGCCGTCTTCGGAGGATCCCTCGGCCGGGGACTGATGCCGCTGTACGGGATCATGACACCGGGCTTAGGGTGACTGGAGGCTAATGGGACTGACCCCGCTTCTGGTTGTGTCGCAGCAGGGCGAGGACTTAGGGGGGGTCTTGGACTGGGTGCTAGTGGTCGGTGGGTCGACTTGGCAACTCCGTCCCTACCTGGGAGAAAGCGCCTCTCTTCTTGGGGTGCACAGCCAACCGGGCCTTTGCTGGGTCGCCGCGCGCGGAAGCCAGAGCCGTTTTGCGGAGGCTGGGGGTTGGCGTCGGAGGCTGGGATGCCTGGAAACTCGCGTAGGTGGGCAGTGGGAGCGTGTCTGCGGGAGTGTGCTGTGTACTGAGGGGCTCGCCACTTGTGAACTTCGAACTCCACTTCTCCCGCCGCGCGTCCCGCAGCCCAGCCTTTCTTTCTTCCTCGATCCTGGCTCCCCTTCGCTTGGCCCTGTCGCCCCCTCCCCCTCGGCGGCACTCTCCTCTCCGGCCTCCTTTCTGGCCTTTTTCCTCCTCCTCTTCTGCCCTCGGCCCAGAGATTCGCTTGACTTCCCGAAGGGATCCCCCACGTAATCCTTTGACGGGTCCGGGGCCCCCACACCCTTCACTTTCGTCCCCGCCCCCCAACTCACCGTCTCCCTCCTACCCCCCACCCCCAACCCGGGGACAATCTCTCAACAAGTATATTTGCTGAGGAATTTGAAAAATCCACTACTGCAACTTGATCTGTGTGTGATGGATGGGGAGAGGCGCGGAGAGAGTTGGGCGCCAATCCTATTAAGGGTTTAGAGAGGGGAGCGTTTTCCCCCGACGGAGGCGGGAGGGGGGGCGGGTGTAGGGCGGGGTGGGGGAAGGGAGCGTGTGCTTGCTTGCGTGTGTGTGTGTGTGTGTGTGTGTGTGTGTGTCCGCGCGCGTGCGCGCGCCTCGCCAAGGAGCTGGAAGTCCACCCAACTCCGCGCCTTTTCAGCCCGGCTGTAATTGCTGTCATTTCCTAGGAAACCGACTTCTATTGAGCGGGGAGCTGGGGATGGAGCCCGCGCACCTCACCCAGGATGACCCACCGCAGAGGTGCTCAGCAGCCTTGGGTTCCCCTTAGGGTTCCTATCCCCACTGCCCTCTCTTTTGTGTAATTGCTGTGTGGTTCTCAGAATTGATCCCAGCCAGAGAAGTAGACCTCTCCTTGGGTCAGGTCCGGTGCTCTGAGGGTGTTTCCTGCGCCTCCCTGCACCTCAGTCAGCTCCTGCCTCCTTTTGGGCGCGCGGCTTTGCAGTTCCGTGGCCGCGGCGCTGTCCTGGGCCCCCAGCCCCGCCGCCCTTGCTGGGCGTGTGAGGGTTTAATCCCAACAGGTTCGGATAAAGGGAGCAGTTGTAAAACGGTCATATGCTGTTTGCAGACGAGGCTCTGGGGGATGTTGGAGAATTTGAAAGTAAACGTTTCCCTCGCAAGCGGCATAAAATAGTGTTTAAACAAATATTGTATTGGCATGCTCAGGGGGCTTGGTGCCAAAAAGTAAAGTAAATAAACTGTGAAATCCAAAATATACAGCGGGTGATAGCGGCGGAATAGGCGGGCTTGTCACAAGTCTCTCTGATGCGATCTATTTGTTCTAGTCACCTCCCCTAGAGCCCCCTCCCCGCCCATTTCCTTACCTTGGCTGGGAGTTTCCTTTGCTCTGGCTTCTGTAAGTCTGGGGGCAGGCCCTCCCTGGGCTTGGGAGCTGCTCTGCAGTTGCTCATTGCAGGGGTATTCATTGTGTGCTACCTGGACCCGACTCCCCAGGGAAGAGGAGGGGAGTGGAGGAGAGAGCACCCTAGCCAAGTCTGGCTGGTTTGAATTTTGAGGCCCTTTAAGACTTCTCTCAGCTTCTGGTCTGTCCTGGGGCAGTAGTTCTAGAATGTAGACTGTGGGCCCTGAAGATGCACTTCCCCCCTTCCCCAGGGCCTCTCTCCTTCTGCCAGTTTCTTTCTTCATCTTTCTTGCTTTCGATTTGTTAGACTTGCTAATTCTCTCCTTCAGTTTCCAGGAATTTTGGAGATTCTCTCCGGGACACAAGTCCTGCTCAAACCCAGCCAATATGGAAAGTTATCACTTGTCTAATGAGTTTTAAAGTTCATTATATTTTGTAAGATTTAGGGTGATTTTGTATTTCCCCTCTTGCTTTGAGAACCACTCCGATTTCATGAGGTTGTTTCTTGATTCTAGGGGAATTTCAACGAATACAGGGAAGGTCCTGCATTCAGAGATGCCCTCTCACCCAGGATATAGCCTTTAGGGGAACCTGCCTTGTCTTGAGTCTAGTGTCTCATCTAGAGACAGGTCAGATTGGTGGGATTGCAAAGTCAGTTGGTGAGCATGAGGACGAGAGGGAAGAAGCCCTTGTAAGCCATGGTTGAGCTCATCAAGGAACAGTATTACCAGACAGGTTTATCCCCTTGGGAATTAATGTGATGGGAATTTGCACAGGGTCCTGATTCCTTGAGCTTGGGCTTCCAGGCTGCTCCCAAACTCACAGGACTCCCCCTCCCCCTGGGGGAGGTAAGGTGGCAATGAGGCTTTAGAAGGAACTTCAGTCTCAGCCCACCTTGAAGAAGTTAACCAAATTCCCTTAGCTTTTGTAGGATGCACTAGTCTCCTTGAACAGAGAGGAAATCCTTTGACTTGCCTGGTCAGAGAGGGGGCCTCAGGGCTGTGGGGGTCTTGGGGGCTGTGTACTGTAGCTGCCTTGTTTGCACTACAGACTGAAAAATACACAAATACTTCACGCTTTTTGTACTCCTACAAGTGCCCTGTACACAGTGCAGCCCCTGGGGCTGGATTAGCAAACTAGGGGATTCAGCAGGCAGGCAGACAAAATTGGATATTTGCCTAATAAACACCCTTTTTCCATCAGGGCACCCCTTGGTCACCCCAGGGGAAAACTTCACTGCACAGTTGCCAGCAATTCCCTTTAAATGAGACCAGGAGGTTGTCGTGTGCACTTTAAAAGCCTGTGTGACCCCCTCACACCCAGCTGGCTTGTTAAAGCTCAAAACCAGAGTCCTACACCCTTGTGTCTCTGTGGGCAGGGCAGCTGGCCTGGTCCGGGAAAGAGTTTTTTTTAGCAGGGCTTCCTTTCTTGTGCTGGGCACTCCAGGGTGGTAGAGCAAACCCACCTTGCTTCTTCAGGCCCTGGGGTGGGAAGATCTACCTGGTGCACGTGGGGCTGTCAGGCCAGGTGGACCTTGCTGTGGACAGCTGCAGCCCTTCCTGCTGGGCCAGGGCCCTTTGAAAAGGAACCCCAGGGAAGCAGTTCCCTCCTTTCTTCTTTTCACTAAGTGTCAGAGGCACCGACAAATGAAACACATGAAGAATGCCAAAGAGAGAAACAGTATTCTCAGATTCCAGAAAATTCAGGAGAGCAGGATTGGTGATTATTCCAAGAACCAGGAAGCCCCAGCCATTTCAGGGTGCAAAACTGTCTCACTTCTAAAGAGGGGGAAACTGCTCTGTGATTGTTTTCTCAGGCTTGCTTAAAAGCAGATTTGAGAAAGGGTCATGGACATTGGTGTTTAATAGGGACCTTTTAGTGACACCTTTGACACTTTTGTGTTTTCAAATAAACATTGAATAATGCCAGCTTCGGTGCTAATTATTTCCTCTAAAATTAATCTCAGGGTTTGCTGTGGACTATCAAGGATTTTAAAAAGCAAAACGTCGGTCATTGTTTTTTGGTTTTCAGGATGACCGAAGCACTCTTAATCCACGTAACTATATTTAATATTACGTATTGTGCACAATGATGGAAATATACTCTCTACTTTAGTGTCTTTCTGTTGCCCAATTCTTTCATCACCAGAAGAATCCCTAATACCCCTGTTTCAGTTTTATTTTCTGGTTTCTTAAAAAACTTTGGGGGTGGGGTGGGGAATAACTAATTTAAGATGTGACCAAAGAGTACATATTAAACTGCTTTTGAGATTTGGGTTTAAATGAAACTAGTTAATGTGGTTTTGTGTCTGTGCACATGTGTGTTGTTAAAAAAAAAAAAAAGGGTTCCTGGGAAGTGTGTTTTAACTGAGTGCTGGGTTTCACCATTAGCATAAGAAAAACAGTTTTAGTGCTTTTACTATTGTCTTGAATGAGGAGTCGTAGCAAATGGAAGGAAAGTGAGGCTCCAGGCCGATGGCCCATTGAGATTCTTCAGCAGCAGGAGCTGGTCATCTGCCTCGGAAATCTGTGATCGGATATCACTTTTATCTCGCTTTTCCATTCTCTGGTCTTTTTCACATGTTCACTTTTGTCAAGGTTTTATTGATTATGTTTTCTTCTCTGCAAATCTGTGGAAAATTTAATGAACCAAAAAACAGCAGTGGAAGAAAGGAGACTTTTTATTCATTGGCAGGGGATTGGGATTGACAACCCCCCCCCCCAACCTTCCCAGGGCAAGGGGGGGGGGCGCCCAGGCCTCCAGCAAGAGAGCTGGTGGAGGAGAGGGGGTGGCCCTGTTTACAAGACAAGGCGGGGCCTCCCCAGGCCTGGGGCCTCCCGCCTGACCAGCTTGGGGGACTCCTGGCCCAACTGAACACTCGAGAGAGAGTTCTAGCCGCAGGAGAGCCTGTGTCCCACCAACTCCTTCCTGGCCGATGGGCTGCAGCTCTGAGCCTTGTCCTCCAGGGCCCTGGCTCTGGGGCTTGGGGTGGGGAGGGTGGGAGACGTTTGTAGCTCTCCGCCCTACAGGACCATTCCAGGGCAGGGCCTTCCCCGCTGCAGTTAAGTATCTCCCTGCCTCCAACCCAGCTCGCGCAACCCTGTAATTAAGCAAAGCCCCTGGTGTGATTACGCGTTGCTGACTCGGCTGGGTTTGGAGCCCGTTCTCTGAAAGCCGGTGACCTCTTGCTCCTTCTAGAGGCTTCCAGATCAGCTTGGGTTACCCTGATCTTGTCTGTCTCCCCCACTCTTTCTCCCTTCCTGTCTCTTCCTTTCTTTTCTTCCCCCTTTTCTCGGTCTCCCCTTCCCGCGTCCTTTCCTCCCCTCTCCTCCTGGTTTCTTTTCTCTGTCCCTCTTTTCTCCCCGCCCCCTCCTTTCTCTTCCCCACTCCCTTCTTTCCTCTCCCTCCGTCTCCCCGCTCCTCTTTGTCTCTCCTCGCTCCCTCTCGCGTCTCTTTCCTTCCCCACCTCTCCCTCTTCTGCTTTCCACTTCTGTCCCCTCTTTCCCCCCATCGTGACCCGCCGGGTGGAGGACTTGCCGGCCAGGCCTCGGGGAGGTCGCGTGTGCGGCGTCCGGGGAACTTTCGGTGCCTGGTCGCCTGCCCACCCGCCCGCCGCCGCGTCCCTCCCACCTGCGTGCCGGCCTGTTTTGCGGCCAGCGAACAATGGACACATTGTTGCGGGTGGCGGGAGACTGGACCCTGCTCGTGGCAAGTCCGGGAGAAGCCAGCCGGCCAGAGCCCGGTGGGCCACTGCTGGGGCGCACCAAGCCCGCTCCCACCCCGGAGAGGTGCCAATTCCAAAAGATGCCTGCAAGCTCCATCCCCTCCTCCTGCTCGGTGGCTCGCCCTCCTCCTCGTTAACCGGACGGGCGCTGGAGTTTGGAGACCAGATTGAAGAAAGAGCATTTCAGGAAAGAGAGAGAAAGGGCCCATCACCAAACTTTTTGTGGCTTCTGAAACTTTTTCTGTAAAGCATCTGCAGGGAAAGGCCTTCTCTGCTCGATCCCCACCCCAAGGATGGTTGTGGGGTGGAGTGTGCGGGTGGAGGATGGGTGGTCCTCTCCTCCAATCGTCTTGACTCGTAGGGATGCAAAACCTCTTAGCACGCAGAAAGAAAAAAAAAAAAGATCTTTAAATGCTTAAAAGAGCATCGTCCCAGGGTCCAAGATAGTCCCCCTTTCAGCGGATGCTTAGCGCGCTTCTTTGTGCCGTGGACAATGCCATAAGTCAGCTCGACTTTGGAGCCACATTTATAAGGAACTGTAAGGGCCGCTCAAGTACACTTGTGCTAAGTTGAATTGATTGAAATTTAATGGCGGTTAGTGGCGATGAATGGTAATGATTTTCTAGCGTATCTTTGGCATACTTGACATTAATAACTGGAGTGTGTGTGTGTGTACGCGGCCGAGAGCGCGCCACACACGTGAGGCGGCAGCATTATTCATTTCCGAGATGCGGGTCCTTCTTCTCCTCAAATCCTTTTCCTTCGCACCATAATTCAGTTGTTTCTATGATTACAAAAAATAAATAAAAAAAAAGAAAAGGAAAAAAAAAGAAAGAAAAAGAAAAAGGAAAGAAAAATCTTTCTCCATTGAGCACGTACATCACGTCAACATAATTTTGAGCTCATGATTTTTTTTCAATTCCTACATAAATCAGCTTCTAATATACAGAATGTGATGAATTTGTTTTAGCTGCATCATGAATTAATGGTATGCAAATAGAGGCTTTGCAGGTGAAATGATTTACTTAATAATTTCAACTTCTAATATTTAAGCTCATTCATTATGTTAGGAGTTTAAAAAAAAAAGTCCATATTTTTAAGCCTTCGATGGGAAGTTTAGCATGCAAGTATGTGCACCGTGGGCAGATCCTGATGGTCAGAAAATAGTGTGTGTGTAATTTGTTGGTTCTTTGAGAATCTGCTGTTCACCAAGCAGTGGCCCAAGGAAGTTAGGATAGAAGAGTGACTGAACTTCACCTGGGGGAGAACACAGAAATGCATCTACCTAATTCCAACATGGCCATCACCCCGACTGTGTTCTATGGGAATGAACCAACTGGAGTTGGGGAGCTAAGGAAATCTTCCCATTTGAGCTGGTCTTAAGGGATAAGTGTCACGTGGAGGAAGGAGGGTGAAGGGACTCCGATGCTCTGGGCCCCCGTCTTTGTCAGGTATTCATTAAAATCATCTTAAGAGTTGATCATTAAGTAACTACTGGTGAAAGTGACATTGGTGTAGAAAGTTATCCAGAATACCCTCCAACTAACTGCTGGGAAGACTTACACATACAGCATCTTTTCAAACTGTTTTCTTCCTGAAGAAGTTGAGGAAGAGAGTAAGAAATGCCATTCACTATGAAGAGAAATCACATGAACCTTTTCCAATTGGCCCCTCATGGAGAGCGAACCCCAGATCCTCAACCTCTGAGTGACCCTGTAATTGCTTTACCTCTTGGGAGAAGGGTGCTGCTGATGTGGACTCTCAGGCTCTTCACATTCAGCTCTGCCTAGGGAGCTAAGCACATCCTGTCCCCTGCACAGCTCTCTTTGTGTCAGTGGGCCTGGGTGTGGTGGCACATGCCTATGAGCCCAGTGGCTTGGGAGACTGAGGCAAGAGGATCGCAAGTTCAAAGCCAGCTTCAGCAACTTAACAAGGCCCTAAGCAACTTTAGTAAGATCTTAATCTCAAAATAAAAGATAAAAAGGGCTGGGGATGTGGCTTAGTGGCTAAGTGCCTCTGGGTTCAATCTCTGGTACTTGTCCGCCCCCACCCCCCCACCAAAAAAAAGAGTCAGTGGGAAGGCAGCATGGGAGGGCCAGAGTCTAAGGAAATGTGGGTTCTTTGGCAAGGAATGTGCCTGTCTTCCCCTGTGGCCTCCATTCCTAGCCAGCTTCAGTAGGCAGGGCGCCTGGGATGTGGTCACAGGAAGAGTATGTATGAGTGTTGTGGTGGTGGTGAACTTGGGGACACTGATGGAGGCAGGAAAAAGCAGTTGACCTCCGACGGCCTTTTCAGATTCCCGTGAAAGCTGAAGACAAGGAAGGGCTGATACATAAATATGTCTCAGATCTCTAAAGATAAGAATAGAGTTTTGACTTTACTTCTCAAAAAATTGAGGTCACAGTGGTCGGGTGACAGGTTGAAGGCACATCACTCAGATGTTTCTGCAGACAGTAGTGGGTTGTGCTGTCATGATACATTGTGTGTGTCCAGACAGTGACAGTATATTTAGGGCTGGCCCTCACTGTCTGCAGAGATCAAGGAGAGGGGACATCTCTGGTGTTCATGCGTCCAGGGTGTGCCTATTTATATCAGAAAAGAGGAAACCAGAGTCTGCCTTTGCTGGGTCAGGACTTTTCAGGTATGCAGATTAAGAGATGAACAGGATGGGAGGCTTTTTTATTTTAATTGTTATTTGTTCTTGACATGTGTATACAAACATGGAGTGTATCTTATTCTAATTAGGATCCCAGTCTTGGATATATACATGATATGGAGATCCACCGTGAGGTGATCTTATGTGTATGTAGGAAAGTGATGTCCGATTCCTTCCACTGTCTTTCCTATTCCTGTCCCCCTCCCTTCCCTTCCTTTCTCCTTTGTCTAATCCACTGAACTTCTATTCTTCCCCTCCAGGATGGGAGGCTTTGAGAATTGTAATTCAGATGCATTTGCCTAGAGAAGATGTAGTACATAATATACATAATATAGTATGTTACACACACAATATAATATGTAAGATTACTCTTCCCTCTGTTAAGTGTGAATGAAGGATGTGTAATATGTATATTTATGTGGATATACATTTATATCAGTATAACTTTAAGCTTTAAGCACCAGCTCTTTTTATGAATTAGATTTTTTTTTTCTTTTCTTGAGGTGTACTGATGCAAAGAGAGAGAGAGAGAAAGAGAATAAGGTGAGAACTAAAGTGAATAGAAGCAAATGAAAGCAAGACTTGAAAAACTGCTAGGCACGGTGGTGCACGCCTGTAATCCCAGTGGCTTGGAAGGCTGAGGCAGGAGGATTGCAGGTTCAAAGCCAGCCTCAGCAGCTCAGCGAGACCCTGTCTCAGAAGAAAATATAAAAAGCACTGGGGATGTGGCTCAGTGGTTAAACACCTCTGGGTTCAATCCCTGATACCAAATAAATAAATAAACAAATAAAATAAATAGAAGGACTGGGGATGTAGCTCAGTGGTAAAGTGCCCCCAGTTTCAATTTGTAGTACTGCAAACAGAGAGAGAGAGGAAAAATAAATAAATAATAAATAAGGCCTCCAAAAATTGCCTCTCGGTGGGGTTCTGGGCCTCTGAGATGAGGTTCAGATGGCAGCTTGTCAAATATGCAGACTCTCAGGCCCAAGAGGAAACCCGTTGAATGAGCACTGCTACTGAGTGGGGCCAGGAACATTTTTATCAAGGTGGGGTGATAGGAGGGACATTTTATTACTAGGATGTCCCTCAGTTCTGAGGTGGCCCAGGACTGAAATGTCAGCAGGTGGTGAGACGTATAGCAATGGCCTGATTAGCTATTGCTGGGCTGGAGTTTGGGGCAAATAAATGAACTGAGGATCAATTTGCTGCTTCTTTCCAAATAGTACAGAGATTGGACTCCAGGGTCTCTTTGCTGGGACACTGGCTGAGACTGTATGATGGCTCTGTGGTCACAGCTGATGCTGGCCGCCAGGAGAAACGATAGAGTGTGTCAGATCCCCCCGGGGTTTATGTGTTGTAGGGTTCTGTCCTGAGGTCCCTGGGATGACACCTCTTTTCCTGTGTTTGCTTCATGATTGTTCCCACGGCTGAAGTTGCTAGAAGCTGGACCCTCTTTGGGTCCAGACTGTTGTTTGGCTGTTTGAATGGGTCTTTGGGAAGTTTGAATCACACTTGAAGGACATACCTGTGGACATTTTTATTGTCCCAAAGAAGGATAGGAAGGACCTAGATTGATAAGGGTGAGGAGCTGGTGTGGGCTGTCACCCCTCCCGCCCTGGTGGCACGGGGCCTGGGAGCTGGAAGGATCTTGCCAGGAGGGTCAGCAGACCAGCCTGCTTCTAGTGGTCAGTGCAGAGGGGGCTCAGCACAGGTCAGCTCTGACCTGATTCACCCACTCATCTCTGACTCTTCCCACAAACCTCAGGCTCTGTCCTTGGATCTTGGCTGCTCAGGCCACAGGAAGCCGGGGCTATGGGTGTGGGGTCTCAGGACCTTTGCTGAAACCCAGACCACTTCGTTTTCTTGGTCTCTGCCTCCTGAGGAAGGGAGAGGCCTCTGTTCAGAGGCTCAGCTGGTATAAGTGGAGGAAAAGTCTCCCGAGTCCCGTAGACTGCTTGGGTCCTTCCATTTCCCCTCCAGGGGTTCCTCAAGGTGCTGGGTCCAGAATTCATTAGTAGGTTCTGGGTGCAGAATCCATCAGCATAATGTGATTCACACGTTCAGGTGAACTTAACAGCCATGCCTCCAGTGCCCTGGCCTTCTCTGCTCAAGGCCGAGCACGCTTAGCATCCGTCTTCCGGGCTGCTGTGTCAGCAGTAAAGTCGAGCAGGCATGTGGACCATGGTGAGCTTCATGTCAGTGGGAGAGGGTAGGACTTAGGAGCT